TGGGGATTGAGATGTCTGGTAATAATCATCAAATTCTTGAATGTTTGAACAAATTTAGTGAAAACATTAAAGGGCCACTCTTACATAGTTACATAGCTGAAAAAAGACTTGCGTCCGTAAAGTTCAGCCTTCCTTACATTTGTTTTTTGCTGTTGATCCAAAAGAAGGCAAAACCAATCCTATTATATCATAATGTAGTTTTGGTGTAGAAAACAAATGTAAGAATTGCCACTAGCAACTTTTAACAGTTAACCACTAAAGACACTTTTTTTTTTTTTCTTGTAAACTTTTAATAATTAAAACTTTACGTTCTGGGTTGATGACCACTTTGAATGTTTTTCATAGAAAAGCACAAGATTCAGTGCGTTGGCAGAGTATGGCGATTGCAACACATGCCCAATAGGTCCCTAATGCTTCTCTGTGAAACACTGAATTGGAGATCATCCAACAGGATGATCGCAAAAGAACATTTACATACTTGGAAGGGGTGGGATACTCTGCAGTATGTATGGCTAAGGTTTTACTTTTAATCACTAATCAGTGGTTCACAGGCTTACAGAAATAGAAAGTAGATCACATGCACTTCTACTGTTTTTTTTTATTAGTTAATACACTTCAGTTTTATGCAAAATTAATATGCAGAGTACGAAGACCTTACTAAATAAATTTCACACTGAAACAACTGTAGTTACTGAAACACACTGGCAATGAGAAGATTGAAACAAATTGTATATTTGATTACATTTCCTATTAATATTTAATACATCTTTTTATAGCTTTTAAAAGGACACCTGAGGCTGGAGATATCTATATATCTATATATAGAGAGAGATATAGATATATAGAGATATATAGATATATATAGATATATATATCTCTAGAGAGAGAGAGAGAGAGATAACTTTAATACCTTTTTTATTATGTAGGATTTTCTGGCAGTTGGCTTGATTGGCTCATTCCAACCTTAATCCTTTGGCTTGCTAATGGTGTGATAGTCCTCAGTGTCTTCATGAAGCTTCTGATCCATGGAGAGCCTGTCACACGCACTCATTCCCGCTCTTCAATGAAGTTCTGGAGACACAGAAAACAGGCAGATCTGGATCTTACTCGAGTAAGCACACGTCTTGTATTGGGTCTTAAAAGGAGAAATTTGTATAAAAGTAGCTCAAAATCAAGCAATTTTTCTAGTTTTAAGGCTTAGATGAATTCAAAGTAAATTTAATGGTAGAATAGGCTTGATTATGCCTGATTTACTCATTCTTCATTTTCTTTCTTTTTTTTTTTTTTTCTTTTTTTTCATTAGGAGAATTGTGCATTTACTATAAACCGTTCCCAGCAAGTATTACTGGGATGTGTAAAAGTGAGAAGTTTAATTCACACGTGTTTTTGTTCTTGGAGTAATAATTAGAAGACTAACATGAAAGCAATATCCCTACCTGCAGTGATGAAAGCTTTAGATTTTTCATAACTGTCATTTTTACATATACATATACAACACTCTTCAGCTGTATTTTTTTTTGTTCTTGATGAAAACAAGTTGCTTTCATATTGAGTTTATTTTGCTTTCTCTTTCAGGGAGACTTTGGGGCAGCAGCTGTTAACCTGCAGACATGCCTGTGTGTCTTGGGGCGCTCACTTCCTGCTTCACGCTTTGATCTTGCATGTAGCCTCTCTTGGAACATAATTCGCTGCAGTTTGCAGAAGATAAGCCTTGTGCGCTGGTTATTGAAGCGCACCCCTGGCTATTGCAAGAAAGCAGAGTTTCAGGATGAAGCCATGACGAGCGCACGGGATGCTGCTCTTGTGTACCACAAATTGCATCAGCTCTTTCTGACCGGTACGATGCACACCTGGACACCCTTGGTTAATATTAAAGTACATGGCAAAATGACTGTCAATTGACCAGATTTTAAATTGATTAAAAAAATATTAGCAGTTTAGTTCATCTTTAGAAATCTTTCAGTCACAAAATGCTGCTTGCAGTCGCTATTTATTAAGCCAAACCTAGAATATGTTTGGTAGGCACTAGGCAGTCGTATACAGGATATTTAAAAATTAGCAGAGGACCACCAAACTGTATGTGGTTGCATTGGTCCCCTGTTAGGAGATGGGAGTATGGATACTAAATATCACCAGAGCTTTTTATGGGCTTCATAACAAAGGGGGTTGAATATATATGCACATGCCAATTTTTCTGTTTTCTATTTCTAAAAAATAGTTTTATGTATATAATTTCTCATTTCACTTCACCAACTTAGATTGTCTTCTGAGCCATTACATAAAACTCAGATTAATAAAACATTAAATTTAAGGCTGTAATGTAACAAAATAGGTAAAAAGTCAAGGGGGTGAATACTTTTGCAAGGCACTGTATGGGAAAGCATTGTGATTGGCTCAGTACAAGACTTCTAATGTCAGCCAAGCAGACAGGGGCTGAGCTAGTAGCAGCAGACTGGATTAAAGGTAAGATTTAGCTATATTGGAAGGGGGGTTATACATGTATGTTTCTTCTTATTAATCAGATCATCGCCACCATACCTATTTTCTACAGTGCATCATGTCCATGCAATGCTAGATTTGTACTGCAGTTTTTTGTTTTTTTCAAATCAAGATTAACTTAGATTTCTGGGTCCACACTTCAATCCCCAAAAAACTAGTTTGATTCTTTATTGAATTAAAAGGTTTATCCTGGATAGTCTATCTCCTCATTTCATAGAAAGGCTATTTGAATATCCTAAATCTGTTACAACATATACGGTATAGATAGATGTATTTTATTTTTTCCCTCTTAGCCCCGTGCAGTCTTCATGTTATTAGCTGAAACCACCAAAACCTGTATCTCATGGAAACTTGGTACCTTGTTGTAATGCTACACACACTTCATATTGTAAAGCATTGTTTATAGAGCATGTGTTTACTGTATTTGTTTGAAGTACTGTTGCTGGGTTATTCTTTCATCTTCATATTTCTGCAAATTGCAAAAAGCAAAAATAGCTGATCTATGATTAAATGTTTCCAGATCAGCTATTTGTACGTCACTTTTGCCATTGGGACTTTGTGGAAATTTGGAATTTATTGAATAAACCTATTCGAGTTGCTGCCCTTTTGTGTGCCTAATTATTCATTGAGATGGCTCTCTTGGTCTCATAGGAAAGCTTCCCTCTAATTGGAGCTGTTCAGGACTTAACCTTGCCCTATGTGCTGTGAATTTGGCTGAATGTGCAGGTGACAAGATCCCGGCAAGTTTGTTGGCTGAAATCCACCTAACTACAGCCGTACAAATGAAAACAAACTTCCCAGGAAGATTCGCTTTCCTTTCTGTAAGTGTTTATTGATGCTAAGTATTTACTGGAGATAAAAGTATGCCCTTTTTTAATTAATAAAAATCTTTATGTATTTTTCAATTTCCCCCCTCCCCTTCCACAAATTACTTAGGTAGGTTGCAAAGAAGTATGAGGGGGGAGGGGGGACAAAAGGGAGTGGGTTTGTGTTTTTATTTTATTTTTTTGTGTGTGCAAATATCCTCTTACATTTGTAATTGGGGAAAAACTGTCACTTTAGAACTATTTAAGCCTGCCTCACTAAGATAAAATTAGGCTGCAGCCACCCTCTATGCATCAATGTTGCCACTAGATGATAAAGAAAAACAGAATATGTACTAATAGAAAGTCTTAACGTTGATACATAGGTACAAATCTCTGATCACTAATTTACCATGTTTGTGCATTCTACTGCCACCATACTCTGAAATAAAGTTTGAATCTTACACCATTGGTGCATGTCTTGAGTTTATTGGGAGCCAATGAGCAGTGCATTTTTTTTCTCATCTGTTTTTTCCTTACAGGCTTACTTCCTTGGATGCGCAATAGACACAAGCATTTCTTCTGACAAAGATTCTCTCCCAGAGTCTCTACGCTGGCTGTCACATCCACTTGGGAAGCACTTTTTCATTGATTGTAACTGGACCGTAAAAAGTGCATCAAGGGAGTCTCTGTACAGCTCTTCTAGGAGTCTAGGTAAGCAGAAACCTGCCGCAGTCCCTTTGTCCTAACTAAAAAAATTAAAATTTTGTTAGAGATAGAGATATATATATATATATATATATATATATATATATATATATATATATATATATATATATATATATATATATATATATATATATATATATATCTATATATATATATATATATATCTCTAAGTACTACTTGTATTTCCATTATTGTTCTCATCTATAAAGAAAATTGTTTAAGGAATAAGTTGGCGCAAATAATCTGTTCAAGTATATTTCTCTAGTTGCTATTTTCCAAATAACATTGCGCACCTGCACCTTTTGGAGTTTTATTCTTCTCTATAAAGGGCTAAATTCTTCCTAGCAGTAAAGTTACTGGCCCAGCTCATATTGAAGTAAAATTACACAAGTTAAAGCATATTAACAAGTAAAATGTTAATGCTAGTCATTAAACACTATAGTGTCAGGAGCACAAACATTTATTCCTAATGCTTTGGTGTTAAAATAACTATTCAGGTGTCAGGTCTCCCCCTCTGTGCAGTAAAAAGGTGTTTAAACTTACTTTTTCTCCCACGCCACACCGGTCTTGCCATCGCTGAGATCATCCATTGGAAAGCATTTGTGAGGCTAGTGTGCATCCGCAGCAAAATGCTGGCGAGGGAGACCTGCTGTCCTAGGGAGATTCCGGTGACGCTTGAGGACATCCAGCGTCGTTTAGACGAGCAAAAGTAGCATTCGTGCTCGGAAGTCCCTCTAGTGGCTGTCTGGTAGACAGCAACTAGAGTAGGAGGTAACCCTAGCAGGTAATTTATTGCAGTTTATAAAAGCTGCAATAATTATATGCTCAGTGTTAAGAGTGATGAGACATTGCACCCTGACCACTTCAATGAGCTGAAGTGATCTGGGTTTCTACAGTGTCCCTTTAAGTAAATTGCAGACAATTCAATGCAACAAAATATGGATACTTATCAAATAGCATGTACAGGAAGCCAAAATAGCTCCGTTGGGAGAGTGTTAGACTGAAGATCTAAAGGTCCCTGGTTCGATCTCGGGTTTCGCCATTGGTTGCAGTGTCCCATGATTCACTTTTAATTGGGCAGACTAGATGGGCCGAATGGTTCTTATCTGCCGTCACATTCTATGTTTCTATGTTATGTTGTCACAATATTTGTTCATATAGGAGGGACAGGTATGTGGCTTGTGTGTGTTTTATTTTTCTATTTTTTTTTTTTTTTTTTAACCCTTTGGTGCAGCTGACCCTGTTGCTCAAATCCATCGTTCATTTTGTGAATTCTTATTGGAGAAAGCATTATACTCCTTGGCAAAACCTGAGATTGGCAAAGCGATGCATGATGAAAATAGGTAAGAGACTTTACTTTTGATATCTTCATCTCTTCATATTTTAAGTCCTTCTTTTCAAATTCTTTTGCCACCATTTTGTTTTGCAGTGAATTTTCCAGGACTCAAGAGAATTTGAAGCTTCTCTGTGTGTTTGCAGACTCCATAAGCAGCATCACCTCTCTCCCTCTCGGCAGGACTTCTCCTGTGTTGTCATCTGCAGGTAAGAGAACTTTCCTATACTTTGCTGACATACTGTCATTAAGATCTTTGGTTTCACCTTGTAATTCTGCTCTCTTGACACAGATCCCATATGCCGATGGTGGTACCATGTCGCATCTATGGTAATTGGCTGGCTTCAAGGGGATGATGCTGCAGTGAAATCAAATTTTGTGGATGTTGAAAGGATTCCCAAACTCTTGAACTCAGAGTATGTTACACATTTTACACTCTCTTCCATAACAAATAGCATTTGTCAGTAAGATAAGCTTTAATTTCTTGTACATTCTTCAAGTTAATGTAACAAACTTCTTTTAACGGAGCTATCGGAATTAGTAGTGTCTTGATCTGTAGAATATTAGGGGAATTTCTTCCTTCTACATTAAGTTGGGACCAGTTAAATGTAGGCCAAAATATCTTAGTGCCAGCCCAATCTGTCTACTAGCAAATGGCTTTAAAAACTTCATTAATTTAGTGTTTTTCTTTATTTTTTCCTTACATTTAGTAATCCTCTGGTGAAAGCAGTGATGCACGTGTGCAGAGCTATGCAAGTGTCTGTACTGGGGAAATCTGATGGTCTTCAGAGCTCTTTCTGCCATTGTGAGAAAGCTAGTGCTTTCTTGTGGAATAGTCTGAACCTGAGCACCACTTCGAACAGTGACCTGAACAAGGTAATTAGAGTTGAATGGCATGCCTATAGTAGTTTGTCAGATCGTTCTTGCTGTAATTCACAATTTTACTGTATTGCGTTTGCATCTTTAATCTCTGCTCCTTTTTGTTTTTATATGTGGTTGTTTTTTCTCCTCGTTATTTGTGTATTGTACTCCTTTATACAGTGTACTGGCTGAAATTATGGAGGTTTCATGTGACTCTTGCGGTCACCATTGTGCATTGTTGTTGCATTGCATGCCTCTTTGGACTTTGTGCAATGTTTCTTCAGTGCAGTATGGAGGCTCCAGCTATCATCGTATATCTGAGCTAAAATTGTGGCATTGATGTCAATAGCAGGTCTTGCCAGAAGTGGTAAGTTTTATCAACTGCATGTAGAAAATAAAGATGGCTTGAAACTAAATGTATATGGGTTGTCTACATTGTTGGTGAAGTGCATTTTAAAGAGAGAATTGAATATATGAAAGCTAATGTTTTATCGAATATCTTTAAAAGGTCAAGTTTTGTTGTATCTCTTTTAATTTTTTTGGATTAGTGGTCAGTTTTCTGGCATGATACTTTGCGAGCAATGTGTAACCTTTTCACATTTATGCTTCTAGGTAGTACAGCTCTTAGTGTGTGACCTACTGCTCTCCATGCGCACTTCTTTATGGCAGAAACAGTCCTGCTCTGGCCCATCATCTGTGGAAGCCAATCACGCACCAACCTCTGTATTAACAGGGTTTCAGCGTGATCTAAGTAGCCTTCGTAGACTGGCTTTCATCTTTAAACCTGCCCACTGCAAGGTTTGTCTCTAAAGCTTTTGGTGGGGTTGTGGGAGAGTGGTAATATTGCCCTGTATAATCCATTTTATGTTTTATTTTTGAAGCTGTTTCTGCATGAAGCCACAGTACGACTCATGGCTGGAGCAAGTCCAACTCGCACTCATCAGCTTCTCCAGCACAGCTTACAGAAACGCACAGTGCAAAGCAACAAGGAAGGTTGGTACAAAAATGTAATAATTAATTAAATGTAATTTTGGGCACTAGTTGGAAAGTACTTTTTCATGTGACAACTAAACAGTAAAGCCTTATCATATGGAACATGTATCTATATTTTTAATGAATGTTCTAAGCATGATAACCACTACTGTGCCCTGTAAATGATATATTGATAGGCAAACTGTTTCATGGTTTGACTTCTTACCTGGCGTATGCCAGACACTGCTTCCCTGTCTTCTCTCAGCTGGAAGTGATGGCTAGAAACTCCAGTTAGAAGCTCCCATTAGCTCTCCTGAGAGAATTGCCTGGCTTAGATGCGCTCTTCTTTTTTTTTTCTTTCTTTTTTTTCCGGTGCATTCAGTTATGTGACATACATACTTGCATCGCCTTATCAGCATAGACAAATTGGCAATCGGCATGGTTAATAGCTTTGTTCAAAGTTAGGCAATACGTTTACAGGTGCAGATTGATAGGAACTAAGAGTAGGTAGCAATTATGTTGTGTTTGTCTTTCTGTTCAATGGTCGAAGGAGTTAGCTTGTGCCTATGTGGTTAGGGAGAACATAGTGGAAATGCGTCTGCACATTTTCTTTTTTTTCTTGTGGGTCAAGTGTGCCCATGCTATTGGTACCCACAGGGTGGTCTGGGTGTGGGTGAATATGTCGAGTGTGTGTATGGTAGTAGAGTCTTGTAAATGGTTGATTAGCACCTTCCTTGGCAGTTTGAGGGAGGCATGAGGTGGTTAGTTAAGTTGTCGTTTATCCCCTTTTGTGGTGGCGTGTGGGCCATGCGCTTCTGTCAGTGCTTTGGTGTAGATTGTGTCTGGTATGCTATGCGTGGTACATTGGGTAGTGTTGACCCCTAACCAAAGGGTGTCACGGGGGGGGAGGGTGTACATCTCGGTCTTTGTAGGGGGTGGCCTTAGTCAAACTTGGGGTGTAGAGAGAGTAGTAGGGTGAACTTAGAGAAGAGAACAGCAGAGCATGGAAATTTGCGGTATACATTTTATGTGGTGTTCAGGTCACTGCCTCCGGTCCCCTGTTGCCCCTGGGAAAGAATGGAACAGTTCTCCCTAGGTCCCATGAGTGGGGGCCTGTTGTTGTGCCCGGCATTGAGGTGTTCTGTCAGTCTCAGTTTTTGGAGGAGCGCAGGGGCCTCAGAGTGAGGTGAGTTTTAGGACCTCTGTTCCGCTTATGACCGCCAAGGTTCTCGGCAGCAGCCATCTGTACTCCACTTTCCCTTTCCTTAGTTGTTCTGTTACGTTGTTCAAGGACTTTATCCAGAGTAGGGTTTTCTGTATAATGTCTTGGAAAAAGGGGAGTTGTGACATCCCTTGGAGCCGTTGTGGGTGCCCTTTTAGTCTTATTTATGCAGAAGTGGCTGTCAAATTCCAGCTTTTTAGCGTGTGTGCGCGTGTCAGGATAGTTGCCGTGACCCTCCTCAGGTACTGTTAGTTCTGAGGGTCCGACCTGTGTCAGGGATTCCCCGGATCTTAATGTGTGCGCCTACTGCAGTCTTCCATGGTGTCCAGAGTGTTTTGGAGCGCTGTGTTTGCCGATTGTAAGTGTTTCAGGGTATCTCCCATGCTTTTTTCTTGTCTGAGGTCTAGTATGTCCTCTTCAGAGGCCTGTACTCGTGCTGTCACTGCCTGCGTTTTTGTGCGCATTAAGTTTAAACACCGAACATCTGCTTAATTTCTTGTAGCAAGAGTCTGATATCCTTTTTAGTGGCTGTGGCAGAGTCATTCATTTCTGTTGGTGGGCTGCTGGGGATTCAGATCTCGTGTCTGCTGTTCTGTCCCTGTGGAGCCAGTCTCCTGGTCGCCGCCATTTTGTGGCCTGCAGTGCGCTGTAGTAGGGCCCCTATGTCTTGTGAGTCCCTGGGTGCAGCTTGTTGTGGCTTTTGTGATCGCCTCCCCATTTCGTCGTTGGTAGTCGACCCCAGGCTATAACAGTCCTCAGGGTTTGGGAAGGACACTGCTGGCAGTTGTGATGCCGGCTGGAGGGCGAGGTAGGCCCGAGATTTGCGGATGTGTTTTTTGCCCAAGTTTGTATATAAAAAGGGCATTGGTGGGTAGCCCTGTGAGCCCTGGAGCTGTGGCTGTGGGTCTCACGGGTCGATGGTCCCCCGTACCTGAGATGTGTGGCAGATTTCTCTGTGATACTTGGGAGCCGTGGAGAGCAGCGTCCATTCGGCTCCGTGGTTCGGCTACGCCACCTAGATGAGCTCTTTTTTTGGCTGAAAAGAGGCAAGGAACAGTGCCAGGGTACCATAGGTAAGAAGTTCAACCATCAATAAATGGTTAGCTATTTACGTTGTGCGCCAGGGGACTTCTTGCACAAGAACCATTACAGTAAACAGCCCGAACACCAGAAAAACCACAGTTCCGTTAAATGTAAATTTCACATTCAAAGTGATCTATACATGGCAAATTTTTAACCTTTTTAAGTTGAGGAAACTGGTTGCATGATTTGATGTTCTTTTGAATGTTGTAATTTAGTGTTTGTTATATGGAATTTATTACTCTCTTAATATTTGTGGTATTCCATAAATGGAATATGAATGAAAAATGCATTTGAAGCAAACTAAATATTTATTCTTTACCAACAGGTGAGTTGGTTTCATTACCTGGGCAAAGGGAGAGGGCCACAGCTATACTGTTGGCCTGTCGCCACCTGCCCCTATCCTTCTTATCTTCCCCGGGACAGAGGGTGGTCATGCTTGCGGAAGCTGCAAGAACTCTGGAGAAGGTGGGCGATCGTCGCTCTTATCATGACTGCCAACAAATGATGGTTAAGCTTAGTGGTGGTACTGCCATGGCAGCCTCCTGAAATGGACTTCTAAACCTGATCAAAT